AAAATAAAGTAATTATCATTACTGTATTGTACGAGAATATAAAAACACATCCTTGAAGACTCCAGGAAAGTTGTGGATTAAAGTGCCGAAAGAAATTAACCTACGCAACTTTATTACACTTATTCATATGTTGTATCAGTTTTATGTTTATTACTACATTGTAATACTAAATGCACTGTACTTACATAGATGCCTTGTCGTTTCTCTGCTCCGCAGAGCAGAAATCGGGGTTTAGTGCAACAAATTCACCAACCATCAATGCGTCAATTCTTGGCAGATTTGTGCTTTCTGCTTTCACAAAGCCGGCATCCATAATTAGTTTTGTCAAAAAAAACTAAGTTTACTGTTTTTTCCTTTCCTAAAGTTTAAAGTGTTTTAAGATAAATTTAGTCAGACGAAAGAATCCACCTACAGTAACACGCGAATGACATTTAGTTGTTTACCACAAGAGACGTCAAAATCATGGCGGATGTGGCGAACAGCGTTTTTAGTGCTTAAAATATATAGACTAAAAAATATTTTTTAAAATTAAATTTCTACAGCAATCTTCTGTTTTTATTAAGTGAAATCGATATATTAAGGTTCCTTAGACTAAATACTTTAAGAAATAAACATTTATTTAATACAATTCGACATGAGTAAACTAGCCTATTGTTGCGATCCTGGTAACGCACAGCAATTTAATTCATATTTAATTTTTAATTATTTCGAAAATATATATTTATACACTTGTTAGTTCGAAACACGTCTGCGACGAGGGTGCATCACTGAAATATTGTGATATTACACCAACACTGAATATGTGTGAAGTTATAGGGGGTGGTAGAGCGACGAGGGTGCATCACTGAAATATTGTTATATTACACCAACACTGAATATGTGTGAAGTTATTGGGGGTGGTAGAGTGACGAGGGTGCATCACTGAAATATTGTGATATTACACCAACACTGAATATGTGTGAAGTTATAGGGAGTGGTAGAGCGACGAGGGTGCATCACTGAAATATTGTGATACTACACCAACACTGAATATGTGTGAAGTTATATGGGGTGGTAGAGCGACGAGGGTGCATCACTGAAATATTGTTATATTACACCAACACTGAATATGTGTGAAGTTATAGGGGGTGGTAGAGCGACGAGGGTGCATCACTGAAATATTGTGATATTACACCAACAATGGATATTTGTGAAGTTATATCAAGCTGTGGACCAGTAACGCCTGTGAGACATGATTATGATTACAAGGTGAGTACTTATCAGGAGGTGGCAGAGCGACGGGGGTGCATCACTGGATTATTGTCAAATTGTAGTTTATTCTAAACTGTGGGCCAGTCCTGCCTAGCATCCTTTACGAACTCTAGCGAGACATGATAATAAGGTGCGTATGTAGGGGGTGGCACAGCTACGAGGGTGCAGCACTGGAATATTGTGACATTACACGAAATCTGGATATTTGTGACGTTATACCGAGCTGTGGACCAGGTACGCCTGTCATCTGCTGTAAACTTAAGCTAGACATGATAACAAGGTCAGTACTTAACAGGGGGTGACAGAGCGACGAGGTGCAACCCCAAATTATTGTGGCATTATACCAACACTGGATTATTGTCGTATATTATACTAAACTGTGGTTAAGTCCAGGGGGGTGGCAGAGCGACGGGGCTGAATTACTGGATTATTGTGACATTGTAGTTTATTATAAACTGTGGGCCATTCCTGCCTAGCAATTTTTACGAACACTAGCTGACCGAACTGAAAAAAATGTGATAGTAAAACCGTAACAAAAAATCCGTGGAAAAAAGTGCGTGGAATAAAACCGTTAAATGAGACGTGCGCAGGCGCGACAGTCGCATACACAAGCGAGTTTGCAATAGGGAAGATGCATATATAATATTTATGAAAATTTTATGATTAAAATGTTAAAAAAATATAAAAGAAATGCCACTGCAACGTTTTTATTTTACATAATGTTGTTTTTTAACAATTATTACGAATTAAAAATACTTGAAACGGAACGTATTTTAAAACACCAATCAGCGTTTAGTGACGTCACTCCTGTTATGACAACTTCTTTGAGGTTATGGTTGTTAAAGTAAATATTATTTTATGGGAATATTTATTGCGTTTTTTTACATTTAATAAAAATGAAAGTTGCGTTTATCAAAGCAGACTCCAGGAATTTACCAAGAGTTAGCGTTGACATGGTTATAACTTTTTTTGTCCAAAGCGCAGAGTTTTTAAGTTTAGAAATGAAAGGGACTAAATTACTACGGTATGTAAAAATCGTAGTTGTTAAACTTCGTATTTTATTCAGCGGCTTCTACAAATCTTACGGCGATAATGCAATCGGCTATGTCCAAATTAAAAGAGATGGAAAATGATGTACAGTAAAAGGTCGAGTTCTCCGGAGCATAAAGTACGTAAAGAAGGTTATCGTGTTACAGTTATTTTAAATGAAACGCAAAGCTTGGTTCAGTCCTGCCAATGTGAAGATTGTGCCACACTTTATCTAATTTTCGACGTCATTCTCCAACTGTAAAATTAAAAATATGTTATAGACAGGTTTTGTAAGTATTAGGTAGGTTACTAATGCGTTTTTACGTACAAGCAGATTAATTAAACATATAACAAGTATATTCGCCGACTTACGTCAAAGTGATCTTCTCAGCATCGAATAATGGTCTTTGGAGAATAATTGTCATTTCTCTTCGCAGCTTGAAACCACTTTTTTTCAGGTTTGGGTCAGAAGTTCCAGTCAAAAACAATTTATTTGGGAACTTTGTTGAAGTAGATTGGCACAAAACATGAGTCAACACGGCTTTTTTTCTCAATATTAGTGGTATTGTTATGATCACATGATGTTGATGGATGGATACATTTTGAATTTTCCAAAAAAATATTTCGAAAGTCGAAAAAATATGCAAAAGTATGAAAATTTAAAGCCAGCAACGAACAATTACGACCAGTGACAGACAGGAGTGACGTCATCGCACCTAGGGTTCGTTTTCGCGCGAAAATTTAAATTGTCAATTTAAAACCGCATTTTTTCCGATAAATCACAATGTTTTAATTTTTTAATATATCTGTGGTTTATTCTACATGGAATTCTTTAAAATGAAAACAAAAATAAAAATATTGCATCTTCCCTATTTGTGTCGATTCTACATTAGCCGAAGGAACTTCGTTCCTACCTGGTGTCCCACGACACCACATTCTTATACAGGTTCCTTGATGATCTTGACAATTGACGATGGGAATAAATTGAACTAAGCGAAGCAGATATCTATAGCAAATTTAACACAAAACAAAATAAGGTATGAAACATTGATATAACTTGCACTAGTATAGTAACATGGTTAAATTGTTCAATGCTGAAAGTGTGAATAATCGCAGTCTGTCTCAGTCCATTTTACACCCTGTTGGTGTGGATTGTAGCCAGACGATGAGACATGTGTGGTTTCTGGTGGAACCTCTAAAGTATGTCAATATTTGTTAGTAATTAATATACTTCATTGCACTAGGTGTAAGATAGATTAAGATAATGCCCCACATGGTCTCTTCGCGACACATGTTGTAACCACCTTAGAAAATAAGCTGACTCTAACAAGACATAGTGAGCACCGATCGAGTAGGTCGGATCATCGACGGTACCTCGGCAAAGGACCCAACTCTGCGCCCACACCCTATTGTTGTCCAACTGATGAGACGCACTGTGATCAACTCCTAAAGGCAGCAACGGTTTGTCATGACGCCACAACCGAAGGAATTCGCGTCCCCGGTAAACCTTGTAAATTTTACATCCACGAGAGGTTGTTGCGATTATTGGCAAGAACTTCATCCTATGAAGAAGGGAGGGATACATGTACAGCTCAAACTTCTTTTCGGTATTTCATGGGATGATTGGGGCCCTTGCCCCTACGTAAATCCGCTCCTGATTATGCTTTACCTCAGTTTGAGCTTTGCAATACTAAAACTAGTCACTTGTATACCAATGCTTTTTTATGCTGTGTACTCTGGTTTATTATTTGTAAATCTTTGGTTGTTCTGTTTATCGCATCGCTTCTAAATGATTTTATTAATCTTGAAACTCAATGGTGTCAATTCTGGCATGATTCTCTGTTCTGTTCATTGTTAGGACTAAAGATCGGTCAAAACAGAGTCTACCTTGGTTAACAGACACGATCAAGTTAAGACTGATATACGAGAGAAGGCTCATTCGAGGTATCGAATGCAGTCACTATTGGTATTGGAATTAGGAACGAATGAAACGAGCTTTCTTTCAAGACTTCAATCGGGGTTTCGTAAGGGCCGTGGGACTGTAACAGCGTTACTAGATGTTACGGATAATATACTTGTGGAACAGGTCAACGGGAAATGTCACGCTTCTAGCGCAACTAGACTTTTCTCGCGCATTTGATTGTCTCTGTATACTAGTATACCCTTCTGTTGTCAAAACTATCATTTTATGGATACGATGCCGAAACAGTCAGATGGTCAAATAGTTATCTCAGTGACCGACGACAAGCAGTAAGACTGCGCAAAGAGGATGGGTCCTTTTTGACTTCGGTTTAGAGCTTGTTAGACGTGGTGTCCCTCAGTCTCGGGCCTTTATTATTTCTTATATATGTTGCCGACTTACCAACTGCTTTGAGACACTGCAAGTATCTAGGTTACGCTGATGTTGTGCAGTTATACGTGTCCAAAATACCAAACAATTTAATTTTCTATTTTGGCAATTAGCTGCCTTTTTATTTCTTTGTAATATTAAAACATTAAAAATAATAAAAAAAAACCGCATAAAACAATGTCTCAAATTTGTCGAACCATAAAATTTTTCACTAAACTGTTTTATTTAATTCTAATACAGTAATAAGTACTAAAAACGAGGCTGTATGAGCATTGTCCCTTTGCCGTCGCTGAAAAGGCATAATTAAAAAAAACCGTACATTTTTGTCAGCTGATTTTGGCATGGTAATGTTGGCATTACATGTATTGTCTTGTAAAATCCCGCCTCCTAACATTTCCAAAAATAGGCACCGACTTTACTAAGTTTTGTTCTTTTAATTTTTAGGCTTAATAACCAGTATTTAAAAAATGCACTATATCAAAGAGTGTATAGAGAAACTTCCGATTACAAAAACCAATAAACCAATAAAACCGAAACAAACAAGTGGTAGTACTAGCAACTCAAATATGCTTCTGTATTGTAATTATTACAGTTTCTATTCACAAAAGGTGAGTGTATAAGGTTTTTTAAGTGCGACTCCGTTTTAAGTCTAAAAACTGTTTTGTTTTTGCCATTTATGTTATTCTGCAGGTTTTGATGGCACTATATGAAAAAAATATTGAATTTGAACCCATAGTGATAGAAATCACTAAGAGTGAACAATATTCTTCGTGGTTCCTGGATATAAATCCTCGTGGCGAAATTCCTGTACTCAAAATAAATAATGAGATTATCCCAGATTCGAGCAGAATAATAGATTATTTGGAAAAGCAGTGCAAACCTGGTATAAAACACTTCATGATTTAATCCTCAGATGCATATTTAAATTAGTAACTTTTTGACCTTTGTGTTTTTCAGAATTACATCCTCTCATAAATGTTTCAAGTGAAAAAAAGATTTTAGAGAATATAAATAAGTTTCGTGATTTAATTGAAACATTACCTATTGGAGTCATAACAGTGGGTTCATTTTGCCATCCTCATCTTTGTGGAAGCCCTAAATTACCTTTTGTGTTACCAGTCCGTGAGGTTCTTAAGAGTAAGTACATACCTACTAGTTGAGATAATCATTTGAACTTAGTCTCCCAACAAATCTGATTCTATTGGTGGCTATATAGCAAATATTTCATTTATAAGTTTAGTTTATGTACAACTTGTTGTGTTGGGTATGGAAGATTAAATAAATGAGCTAGTAAAAAGTCCGCATGGTACTTTTATATCTACAGTTTATTGTTCTTAAATTACTTGACTTAACTGACTAATATCAAAATCAAGCAATGTCATGAACCTTGATGGAACTCTATGATCTTCATGACTACAGCAAAATCAGTAAATTGATATATAATATTATATTATTTATTATTAATATTATATGTTAAGATAATTCAAAAAATATGTGGTACTATGCCACATATTTTTTGATTTCCATAAATATATTTGAAATACTTTCAGCGGGTGACTTATCCAGTTCAAAAAATTTGCGAAAATTGGCAGAGGAGAATCCTAAAGCTCGAGGAATACTCTTATATAAAGCACAGCTACATGATAGAAAACATGAAATTCTTTCAAATGAAGATGAATATCTTAAGGTCCTAAATAATGTTGATCAAGTTTTATCACACATTGAAGAACAATTAAGAATCCAAAGTGAAGGTTAGTTTCATTTTGTTTGTAAGTTGTTATTAAATATTCTGTGTAATATTAAACTTTATTCTTTTCCAGGCAATTGGTTATGCTGTGAAAACTTCACTATTGCGGATATTAATTTAGCAATTCTACTTCAAAGACTATGGGAACTAGGCTTAGAAGGAAGATTTTGGACAGGAGGAAAACGTCCTTTCCTAGAGAACTATTTTAACCGTGTGAAACAAAGAGATTCATTCAAACAAACTATACCTAGCTTACCATATCATATAAAAATGATTATAATGTCCCAGCCTGCTGGTTATGTGGGTATCGCAGGAGCTGTATCTGTTGGAGCTGTGGTAACACTAGTTTATATTTTCAAAAGATTAGTTTTTTGAAGTGCATCATAAGCACATTCAGAAAAATTATTAACATTATATAAACATCATCTTACTTTTTGTTGTTATAATATTAATTTTATTAATGTAGGCTATACATATTTAACCAAGTACTTACTAAACATACAAAAATACCATACCAATAAAAGATTTCATTATACCTTATTAATTTAACTGAAACTTCAGTGCAATTAATAAAAATTTCAAAGGCCATCTAAGTACATAAGTAAATCTTATTGATTTTCTATATTAAATCCTAATTTTTATAACTATGAAAGTGAAAGTTTACTGATTAGAATTTGATTTACTAATCCTAGAAGTTACAGAGACAACAATCTATTGGATAAAAAAAAACTATTTTATGAGTTAAAAAAAATATATTTAACCAAATAACAGCTATTCAGCACCACATTGTTTAAAAATATCAACAAAATTTAATAATGATAATAAATTTCATCATTGATGCTCCGAAAATAGCACAGTGCATAGTGCACAGTATTTGACTCAAATGCATTGTAAATTTACTCTCCTCTACTTCCTATGTGATGTAAGTATATTTGGAAATGGAATAAGGCATACTCCCGCTACTTGCGTCTCGCCGGCACAGCTTGCGGCCTAAGCAAGTACTATTTATTACAGACATTTTCTAACATAGAGTTCTGCATCGGCAGAAAGCGGGCGCCCTCACCACTCGCGGCATTGTTCCTACTTAATCATATTTTTTTAAAATACAGATTTTGTTATTTTTTTCTAATTTCCTCACATCAGTGATGAAAAGTAGTGTTCAACTCAGGAGTAAGCGTTTAATTACTCCCTTACTCTATTAGTACTTCACTCTTTTATATTTGAATACTTACATCTCATGTTCAACAATCTACTATTTAACAATAATCATAAATTACAGGAAAAAGAGTTATAAAATTTGTACATTCATCAATTCTGATTCATTAAATAATTAAGTTATACCAATTTACTTTATGTATTTGTGATACTTAGATTCTTCATCTTAGAAATAATGTAAAAAAAATATCTTAACATTTATTATAACCCCCAATAAATACTATAACTAATCTAGACTTTAGTTTCACTTCCAAGAGATTTCCAATCATCTTGTAACCCTTCTAAACCCTTCAATTCACCTTAGGTACTTTAAAGAAAACAAAAAATTATTTAACCTTAAATGTAATAAAAGTCTTTTATCTTGTCTCTTCCTCTGCACTTTCTTGATTTTTATTTAAAGGCATTCCCATAAAATGTTTCCCATTGGAGGAACTCATTCTCTTTCTATAAATTGGACCAGTAGAAATTTTTTCTTTGTTATATTTAAATATTCCATCTCCTGGGGAACTGGGTACTACATTTGGTAATACAAACCATACCCTATAAGTCACAAACCAAGTTAATATTGCAATTACACCACTTATAAATTTCTCCACCATTATGTGATAATACATTATTGTGGAGACCAACATCACATCCCAAAGTAGTTGAAGTAAAGCAATTGCAATTAATAATCCTCTTACATATGGTGTAAAATTTTCATATGATAACTTCAAAGTATCTAATTCTTCTACATTTATGTTTTTCAAAGGATTAGTGCGAATAGTTTTGTCATCAATACTTCTGCAATACTTTTCATCTCGAATTAAATCTTTTATCCCTTCCCATCCATTTATTGCTCTAGCTTCTTCAATCATAACTAAGCTTGAGTAAATTAAAATGAAACAATGCCCTGATATATCAAATCCATTCCAAAAATGTCCATTTTTCAAACAAGTACTTTTATCTTCAATTGATTTCATATTGCAACGTCCATATTTGGTTTCAATATAATTGAAGAGTGTGGTCCATAAATACCAAAAGGTAGTAGCTATCAACAGCCTTGATAAATGGCCAATAAATATTAGCCGTTTTTTGCCACAGCAAGTTGTATAGGAAGTTAAAAGGACATAGGGGACAGTTAAAAACAATGTCCAAAACCAACCAATTTTGACAAAATATTGATTAAATACATTGTCGCTTCTAGAAAAGTAAGACTTGGGAAAAGTCAAAACGTCAGCTATAAGAGAAAGTAAAAACAGAGCTCCTAAATACACAGCTATTTTTAAATTGGTGTCAAAAAATAGTATCTTCTTACAAACGTGCACAATCATTAGAGTCAGTACTTCTAAGATCGACGAAGCTTCACGTATTGGTTTGGTACCTTTGCTTTCCATTGACTCATTTTGGACTTTGAAGTTCATTCGAGGACTTTTCAAATTAGCTCGGCTCGTCATTTTTTAACATAGGATTTGCAAAATAATTAGTTCTTTTTATACCAGTGAAAGAAATCTTAGAACTTCCCTTTTGGTTCTTGTCATGAACTGTCAATGTCAATTTTTATTTATATAGATTCTCCCTTTTCAGGGAAGGCAAAGGGAACAATGGCCGTACAGCCAATTCTTAAGTTATTTTAATCTTTTTTTTACATTACAATGTTGGTGTGACTCATACTAATGTTACTTGGAGTGTTTGGCACGAAATGTATCGAGTTGGCTGTTCCGATAAGCTTCTGTGAAGTAGTCAACACTACAATAAAGTTCTCACGTCCACTTGACCGGAATAGCGTATATTTTAAAGATTCCATAATCAGACGGTTGTAACACAAAATCACACCAAATTTATTTCACAATAACCACTATGGACGAATTTAAGAATAAATAAAATAAGACGCCAACCGCAGTCGATGAAATCCCACAAAAACTCCTGTGAATGTCAATTTTTTTCAGTGTTACCAGAAAGCCATTTCTCCTTCCCCCCAAAGCTTACGTTTACGTTACGTTTTTAAAGAAAAAACCTCCAACATGCAAAATATTTAAATAAAACCCCAAATTTGGGGGGAATCCCCCATATCTGTGATTATTTGGTTCCGTTCTTACCGTTCATTAAACGGAAAAGGCAACGACAACAAAATGCGTCATACAGCCTAGACTGAAGTAGTTTTCTTCAAGTTTTCTTTTTATTCGGGTGTGATATGACCCGTTTTTTCTCTACGTGTGACCCATTCCAATATTGAGTGTTTGGCATTAAATGTGTCGAATCAGTGTACTAATGGGACATTAATTAAATATGAAACACTTTTACATATTTTTTTTATTCCACATCTTTCATGACAATATCATAGATACAATGAAATAGTGCATCCTTGTTCTTCTCTATACAGAAGGAAAGGGTGAGACTGACCTTAAATTTAGTTTTAAGTTTAGAAAATCACGCCAGAATTGACACCAGTATGGGGTAAAATGACAGAATCTTATCCTAAATCCACAGCAAGAAGTCGTCTAAAATATCAGATTCGGAATTCTTAGGCTTACTTAACAGTCGCAGGGAAAGATCTCGAAAGTCCAAAAGCAGTCCAAGTCACATAAAAAAACAAATCTCAGAAAAACAATACGCCTATTAAAATCTTTGCAATACGCATGCACGATAATGATAACAACAACAATTCGATGACAAGCATGACAGTGACAGTTATAGTTTTTTGCGTTAGAATTGGCGCCATACTCTTTTTGTATTGTGGAGATTATTTATTATGGTTTCAGTTTAAAATTGAAAAAAACACCCCCGACATTTTTGATAGATAGTTAAAGCGCAAAGCGATGCAAAACATACGAACAACATACTTGAAGTTGGTTTAATCACTAAAATCACTTAAAATAAATGGCTCAAAAGCCATGATGCTAATCCACAATATAAATTAAAAAAAAAATAGTCAGTTGAGTTTCCCTTTAATAAGTTTTTAATTGCAGACTTACACAACTAGGGATGTCATATTGTGCAGTAAAAATCGATTTTTAATTAATTAGTTTTTTCTTAGCATGCAAAATCGATTAATGAATAATTGATTTTACTTCAGAAAATATACGATTATTTATAATAATCAATTTTTCCCTAATTTGCCAATTAATTTCAAAATAAACGCCATAAATACTGTATCAATATATTTATTAATTAAAAATAAATAACAAAAAAAGTAAGCACTCATATAATAACACAAATTAAAGTTTTTTTAGAACAATCAAATTATAAAAGGTTCAAATTTCAATGTTTTTCACATAAATCAACAAAATTGTATTATAGAAGTAAATAAAAAAATGTATTTTGAATTTTAGCTCTTAATTTCAGTTACTGATAGGCTTAATTCGTTCGACACGGATAAATCAAGCATTTAACATAACACAAGGAAACGAATGAATGAGTTGAATGAATTTACGTTCTACTTATTTAGTCATTTCTCTCAGTCAACGCAACGCAACAAAAATCGGAATCCTTTTTTCGCGAAAAATATTAGCAGATTGTTTGTTGATTTTTGTTTTAGGTAAATAATCAAAATTAAAAGTTTAATTAATGTTGGTGTAATAATTGTAAATATTAGAAGACAGAGACTTTTGAAAGTGCAAATAGATGAAAATTACAGTTAAATTTATTTAGTGTATTGTTGTATGTAAATAAAATATTATCAATATCTCGAGAAACAGGAATACCCAAATTTTGAACTTTTTTGAAAAAGACGATGTAACCAAAACAGCGGAGTGCAATTTTTGTAAAAATCGTTTTCATATAAAAACAACTAATATAAAATTTGTTATAAATTTAAAAAACCAAAAAAAAAAAGTTCATTTCTTAACATGTAAAAACCATAAAAATGCCTTAGGCTTATAAGTTCTTAACACTTAAATGACGTAGAGCAAAGCTATTTCTTGTAACGAAACGACACATTAAGCAAATATGCGTAGAAAATCTTTTAAGCTTTTAAGGCAACGTTATTTTTACTTTAAGTTCAACTTATTAAAGGTTGTGAGATTTAAGAAGTTTAGATAAGGACGAGTCTATTCATTGGTACTTCGCGTTCCGGACTCCGGGCCAGGAAACCAAACAAAGTCGGGGAGTTATAGATGAAAAATCAGTAATAATTGCTGGAAAAAATCGATTATTAATCGATTATTCCTAAAAATAAAATGTGATTTTAATTTAAAATAAACGATTTTTAATCGATTTTTTCATAATCGATTATTTTTTCACATCCCTATACACAACCCTCTTCCATTATTTAATAAATATTTTGAGATTATTTTATTAACATTTCTGATATTGACATCAATAGACGCTAAAGATTTACTTCAACAAATATTTCGCCATTGTCCTTTACACAAATAAAAAAATACAACGAAATTAAATACATTTATTTTTTTTACAATTATTTTAATAGAAAAAAAGCGCGGGAAACTTCGGTTTGGTTGGTCGTAAATATTTTATAAAATTATTTTTTTAATGTAAATTGGATCAGTTGGGTAATATAGTGTTAATATTTTAGTTTATTTTTATCTATTTAGTGTACATATTGTATTTTTCATCTTATAGTTGGTAAGTTATAGTTTTAATTTGAATTTAATTTTATGTTTGATCCAGACGACCCTGGGGGCTGTGGCCCCCAGGTGTCGAATGTAATTACTGTGGATTTTAATTCCGGCTTAGATACAGAGGGATCTGCACTAGATTCGGATTGTTCTAACCCCAGAACTAATTCTAAAAGAAAAAGAACTCATGCCAGTAAGATTTGCAAACACTGTAATAAGAAAAAGAGTAAACATCATAAATCTTCAATTGATTGTTCTGAAACAGATTGTAAATGCGAATTTGCTTCTTCTGCACCCATTAATACGCCAATGCAAACTAATTCACTTCCAATCTCTTCTCTAAATTCAGTGTCTCAATCACAATTTACTCAATCTTCTATTAACAAAGATTCAGCACAGCAGCCAATAGGTAGAGTTTTTTATCAGTCATCAGATGCCTCTCCTTTTATTGTTCACATCCAAAAGATTCAAGAAGATCCGAATAATAATGCATCAATCCACCCAGTTTCCTTTGGACAGTTCTTAAAAAAGCATTCCATTAAAAATATTGTTAACGGTAGCTTGAAGCGCATTGGCAGAAACAGACTTTTAATTGCATTTAGCCATTTTGAAGATGCTAACTCATTCTTAAATAATTCTGAAATAATAAAGAACAATTTTAAATCATTCATTCCCACTAACAATATTACTCGTATGGGTATTGTGAGGGGAATTCCTACAGACTGGTCAGAGGAAGAGATTCTAAAAACTATAAATGTACCCATTGGATGTGGAGCTATTCTTAAGGTAAGAAGATTAAATAAAAAAGTAATATAATGAGTCAGCAGTACTTCTTGAGGCATTTATTATTAAAATACAACAGAAATCACATATAATCATAGTATTTTCTCTATATCACTCGAGCGCGTTGCTAGGATACTCACAGCTTGACTCTACCGCGCAAGCGTGCAATTCGTAGGGTTGACGAACCTATATGGGGATGACCTAGGGTTGTTACACACTCCCCCTCTAGTTCGAACCTAGCGCCCTCGCGTTCGGACTAGCGCCTAATGTCCCCACGGTCTTCTGTACCTATTGTCTTCGCGGCCTACCACGCCTACGTCTTTCCCTAAATGGAGACTCGATAACGCCTACAAAAGGGGTCAAAGCAGACACATGATACCGACCTATCATCTCGCCTCGAGAAGCTCCTTCTAACAGGTAAGTCGTCGGGCTTACGACCTCTCGGATCCGGTACGGCCCATCTCTTCTTGGTATAAACTTAGCAACTTGTCCCGTTCCGGTGTCATTAGCTCCCTGAGTCTTCAGCAGGATAAGGTCTCCGACTTTATAGTCGGGCGGCGGACGACGGCCCTCATCCGCGTATCTCTTATGAACGGCCTGCGCGCGTTCGTGCACGTCCCTGGCCTCTAAGAGCTCGTTAGCCAAGTTACGATGATAAGGCGTAATGTTAGCGACGAAGTTATCACTATCCACAATAGCCTTCATATCTGCCACAACGTCCGCCGGTGCCCGCAGCTCCCTACCAAAAGTTAGGTAAGCCGGTGAAAATCCAGTGCTGGTTGTAACAACGGAATTCATCGCAAACCTAATGGCTGCGAGGTGGGTATCCCATGTTGTGTGATCTTTGCCCACGAGGATTGCTAACTGAGGCTTCAAATCGCGGTTTTTGCGTTCAACGGGGTTAGCTTCGGGGTGATACAACGGCGTCAGAGACTGTTTGATACCCATCACATGACAGGCCTGTTGCATCACCTCGGCAACAAACTGCACACCGTTGTCGCTTATCATCCTACGTGGCACTCCATATCTCAGGAATACTTCTGATATAAGAATTTGGGTGCACTCGACACTGGTGGCGCTTTCTAAAGGGAAAAGCTCTACCCAACCAGTGCACACATCTTCCGCGACCAAAATCCAATTGTTGCCCCGCGGAGTTCTCGGCAACGGACCGAATAAGTCCACTGACAACACTTCAAACCTTCGAGCTGGCGCCGGAGTTTGTAGGAGACCTGCAGGCTTCTTGTTTATTGCTTTGTAGCGCTGACAGGCCACACAGCGCTTCAGGTAGTCTGTAACAAAGGCCTTCATCCCTGGCCAAAAGTACCGGGACCTAATGCGCTGCAAAGTCCTTTCGGCGCCAAAATGACCCGCGGTCGGAGCGTCATGAAACTCTTTGAGCACACTCTCCCTTTCGTGTGTTGGGACCACAAGGCACGCTGACTCGGTGTCCTCGGACTCTGGTGCGCACCTATACAATATCCCATCAGATATCAAATACCCCCTATTAGACCAACCCCTCCCCCTGAACAAATCTTCGGTTGCCTCCAAATCCTCAATGATAGTCTTGAGTTCGGGATCTCTGAGCTGATTGTCCCGCACATCAGCAGGAGTTCTGCGTGGCATGTCTAGAGTAATTAAGCACACTTCGCAACCGCTTGTGCCATTCTCGCAACAAGCGGGGCGGCTTAGCGCATCAGACACCACGTTCGCTCTCTCAGGGGTATATTGGATCTGTAAATT